TTTATGGAAAATTTTGGCCCTTAACAATTTTGGTATCATTCTCCTTAGCTCGATGGGCGAAATCGTTTAATGCTAAATTTGGCAAGATTCGGAAATCTTGAAGCAAGTTATGGCTTTGCGCCGTTATGGCCGCGCGCCGTTTTGGCGTGTCTCCCACCTGTTCTACAGTAAACGCAGTTCTCGGCCTTTTATCCTCCTCTCCAATATCTTTTTTCTTTGATTTTCTAAGTCGAGAACCTAAAGCTATAATTTTGAAAATTATTTTTAAATATTTTTAAAAATTTTTCTGACCTGAACCGGGTCTATCAGAATAACGAGTACAGAAAATCCAGGGAGGTAAAAATTCATTACATTTATTTGTGCAACAGCCATTATTGTTGTTGAAATTATTTTTGGGAGCTAAATTTGTTGTTAAATTAATGCCTGTTTCTTCGGCTTTCTTAAAGAAATTTAAAAAAAAATATTAAAGTTTTAGGGGGCGCAAGAATTTAAAATAATTAGGGGTATTAAGGGGGCTGGCCAACGCCTATTGCAATTTTTCTTATTTTAGTGATTGGTACTCTTTAACTTATTCCACTTCTCAAAAACTATCTAAATATGGGATACATGTTTTATGATATCTTAAATAACAGGGAGTTTTAACGTTTGAATTGTTGAAGAATGATATTTTTGATAATTTTACTTATCTACCATAACCCAAAAACCCTAACTAATAGAGCTGTCTGTGACCGAAAATTTTCCAAGACTCAAGACCAAGACTTCGCCCCAAGACCAAGACAGACCGGAAAAAATCCAAGAAAAGTCTTGAGTCAAGATTCAAGACCAAGAGTCTCGAACAGTTTTGCTAACCAACCTAACCAAAAAAATTTGAAATTTTCAGAAGACTTAAATAACAATCTGATAATTATTCTAAAAAACACCCTCAAGTAATCGTTCCTTCAACTTACATTATTTAAAATTCCAAAATCTGGCTGTAAAATATTTTCAATACTAAATTTTAATAAATTTCTCTTTTCTTTTTTCAAAAAATCTGATCCACAAAAATCGGAAGTTGAAATATATTTTTGGAAGGTAAAATCGTCAAAATTGTCAGAAATGTTTGAATGGAATAAATGAATTTTTTGAAGGGAAAATTGTTTTTGTTGGGGGTGATTATTTGTTGTATAATCCATTTATTTTTAAATGGAAATTCAGTGTTTTTAGTGCTAAAATATTATTAAAAAAATATTTAATGTAATCTTCAATTTCAAAATTTACCCCAAATGAATATATCAGCTTCTGGGGTAGTATTATTCTAATAAAAAGGCACTCTCTAATGGAGAGTGCCTTATCTCTCTCTAAAAGTTGATAATATGGAAGAGAAGGACACTCTCTAATAAAAGGAATATTTATAGTATGCCACTCTAATAGAAGGCCTCTCTAATAGACGACCAGAGGTTAGATGGCCAAAAGGATGCCCAAAAAGATTATTTAATTAAGGGACAGCTCTACTTTAGGACATGCTTCCTTCCCATAACCTCTTAAGCGTCCCATCATAGACTATTTTTGTGACGCTTAAAAGTCGGTTCTACTTGACTTTATGAGTCCAATCGAACTTTATGAGTCCAATCGATGTTTATGAGTCCAATCGAACATTATGAGTCCAATCAAAATTTATGAGTCCAATCGAACATTATGAGTCCAATCAAAATTTATGAGTCCAATCGAACATTATGAGTCCAATCAAAATTTATGAGTCCAATCGAACATTATGAGTCCAATCAAAATTTATGAGTCCAATCGAACATTATGAGTCCAATCAAAATTTATGAGTCCAATCGAACATTATGAGTCCAATCAAAATTTATGAGTCCAATCGAACATTATGAGTCCAATCAAAATTTATGAGTCCAATCGAACATTATGAGTCCAATCAAAAATTATGAGCTTATGGGACGTATGTCCTAAAGTGAGTCTTAAGGGACTGTATGAGTCTAAAAAGGATAACCAAAATCACTGTAGGTATCCAAACTCTCAACTTCGTTTTTTAAAATTTAATTTTTTCTATTTTTTCCTCACTTCATCAAATAGAACAATTAAAGGAGGAAAAAAACTGTGTGGCAGGAGGGTAAATAGAGTGTAAATATTAGGAGCTATTTAGATATATCTTCTACCACAATGAGAGAAGGAGACTCTTCTTTGAATTAAATAACAAAAACTAAATAAAAAGGGTCCGCCCACCAACAATTTAGGTAGTTGTTAATTCAATGTCAATTAAGAGTTTTTAAGAAAAGGAAGGGAGAGAGACATATATTACTGTATTTTTTAAATTTATTTTTAAATTATTTTAAAAATTGAAAGAAAAGTTGGGTAATGGTTAGGTAATTTTTTAAAGTTATAGGAAGCTTTAAAAACTTGTTTATAAAAGAAAATTTTATTAGCCATAATTGTTCAGGTAAAAATGAGATGCTATATTTATATGTAACTATATTAGTAATCTTCGGGAGTGAAAAAAGTCGAGAGTCGAGACCGGGAATCAACCCCAGAGACCGAGACCCGAACCGAGACTGAGAGTCGAGACCGAGTGTCTCGAACATAACTAACATTATATATACACCAATAGAGATACACTATCTGACAGAATTTTCTTAAACTTAACATTCTTTGTACTCCAAAGTTTTAAATAAAGTTTCCCAAAAATCTGTCTCTATAACATTTATTGCATGGTAGAAGGGTCAATAGAAAATCACCAAAATTAATTCTTGGCGTTCTGTCAACCCAAAAAAATAATGCATACAACCACTCTACCAAATTTTTATAAAAACATTAATTAATCAAAAAAAGTTTAGTTACATATTGAAAGGTATAGGCATGTTTTCGAATAATAAATAATTTCTCGGTAATATATTTATTTTTTGCTTTTAGTTACCCCCTATTATCAGTTGTGTTAAATCTTGTTTTTATTTTCCTCCCTTAATTTAACCTCGATTAAATATTGTTAGGCCGTAAATAATTCAATCATTAACCGTTAATATATTTAAAGATTTACTGAAAAGTTGGATGATAGTAAAAGAAAATTAAGGGATAGAGAAACTCTCTCCCTCAAGCCCACTCTCAAGCCCGCACTTTCGAACCCATCCCTCGCAGGCTTTAAATGAATGTTTGTATGAAACATTTAGCTAGTTTAGAGCACAAATCTTACCACTTCAATCGAAAATAAAATAAATCTGGTTGCGACGAAGCAGGCTCGCGAAGAGTGCCCAGGCCCTATTTTTCTTTTTCTCAAACATTGAGGATTATGAATGTTATTATCAAATAGTTCATTTTATATGTAACAGTTTGATTGCTTCTTGAGATGGATTTTTAAGGGGAATGAAGACTAACTAAATTAGAATGTTAAAAAAGGGAAGATTTTTTTGAACAATTTTTCACAAAAAAAATTTGTTAGAAAATTAATTAAATAATTATACATCTTTTTTATTAAGTTATTTGAGGGAAAATAGCGGCAATTGAAAAATAAATTAAAGTCAAATATTTTTTCTAATTGAATAGATGGGTGGCAGATAAATAAATAAATAAATATTCGGCACATTATTTAATTTTCTTTTTTTTTTATTTCAACAACAAGATTGACAAGACGGCAAATAAATTAAAAGGAAAGAGAGGCGATTTAAAAGAGATAATAACGGGAAGGAATAAATTATTTGAGAAAAAGAAGAGGAAAAACAAGAGCAATTTAAATTAAAAATTAGCCTCAATAAATTTAAAAAACTTTTAATTGAAAAAAAAATTAAAAAAAATTTTGGTTGAATAAATACTTGGAGGGTGTTTACAGTTGGTTAATTGAACCGAAAACCGGAGGTAAAAATTTGGGTACTAGTTAAGACCTGGTCACGGGTACTGATTTTGGTATCCGTATCCGGATATTTACGGAGGATACAAGCGGATATCCGCAGGCATTTTGGTATTATCTGTAAACAGATCCGTATCCATGACCAGGTCTGTTATGAACAACCCTAATAACATTTTGTCGACTATTGTCGTTTTTTGTCGACGATCACCTAGAGCATTTAAAACGCTTAGGTGAGGGTTAAACGATCTAAAAGGATAAAAGAGAAAACATTAGTTAATGCCCAGGTAGCTCAGTGGTAGAGCTCCTAGTATACGCGATGGACGAAAGCTCCTAGCAATAACTGCAAGGAGGTCACAGGTAATCCTGCCCGGTGACTAAACTTTTGCTAAACTCTTTCTTTAATAACCGGTATAATGAACAACCCTAATAAATACAGTCGAATATCGATACAACAAACTTAAAGAAAAAATTACATTAAATTAAGAGGTATGGTAAATCAAGATATTATTTACTTTATCACAAGATTTTATACATATCTCATTGCAGGGAAGAAAGGAGATTCAGCTGACTTGCATTTAAAACGCTTATAAAGCGAGGGATTTAAAAAGGGGAAGAGTAAAGCAAGCAAGTCAGTGGATCACTGAACTACGGATCAGGGCTCTAGTTTAGAACATGCGTCCCATGAGCGTTTATGCGTCTCATGAGCTTTTATGCGTCCCTTCAGAGTATGCGTCTCAAAAATAGTACTTTGTAGGACGCTGTACTATTTTGGGCTCTGATGGGACGCATAAATCTCATGGGACGCATGCCCTATACGAGAACCCAGATCAGGGGATAAACTGATTTACATGGGACGGACTTTTAACTCCCTCCTACTATCTTATATTGACAATATTATTTTCCCAAACCCTTATATAAGGCTTTAATCATTAAATATTCTCTCATTCATTTTTAAATTTTTATTTAATAGGCCGGGCTCCCCTAAATATTCTTCAATTAAAACAAAAATTTCTCTGTGTGAAGAGTTACTGCTTGCTTGCTTTGGACAGTCTTCAGGAACTTGAATAATTTTGTACATAAATGTTATTTTTATAAATGGAAAGTCACCAAACTAGAAAGTCTCCTCAATTCTTTTTTAGTATTTAATAAATTAAATGAAAATAAATGGTGTGGTGGTCGTGGCCGAGTGGTTAAGGCGTTGGACTGCTAATTTATTGTCGTTATCGTTTCCCCGCCAGAGTTCGAATCTCTGCGACCACGGATCTTTTTATTTGGTTAATAAAAGTTGAATTTTAATATTTTTTTTTTAACTTTTTGACCAACAAATGAAATTTTAGATTTCAAACAAATAATTATTTTTAAAAAATCCTTCCCATAAAAATGAATTATTTCTCTATTTTTTTGTTCTTCATTTCATTTTATTTTGTTTATTCTGTAGATGAATTTGATCCTCACAAATTTGCAGAAATAATGAGAAAAACTCAAGAAGCTGAAGCTCAAAAATGTTAGTAATTTTAATTTTATTAAATTTTGGTTGTCCTCGACATTTGTGGGCTAAAATGGGACAATGTTCATTACTTTGATCAGTAAGAGATACCGTACCATTTTCCTATATCCTTTTCCGGCATCTGTTATCTTGTTATAATTAATTATATATCATTCCAAAGAGCTTTTCGAGCTGAGTCGAATGAAACTAAAATAAACAAAATTTGACTTTACTGAAAAAAAGTTATGACGCTTGTTTTAATCCCTTTCAGAGGAACAAAAGGCTTTCACAGAGATGATCAAGCTTCTTAATTTTGTCGAATATTACCAAATCTATCCTATTTGGTATCATTCTATCCAACTCGAAGAGCTTTTTCGAATGATATGTGCTAAATTATCAAAATGGTCAGGGATACGGTAAAATAGTGGGGGGGTCTAAACCGAAGAATTACCCTTTGATCTAATCATAAAGTATATTTGTTAGTAAAAGCATATCGGGCGTTTTTCCTTTCTGATAATTTTTAAACTTGTTCCGAATTAAAATTTTCGTTGTGGCGCTAAAATTTAAGAATTTTTTCAAAATTTGCTAATCTAATTTAACAGTTTAATTTAATAAAATTAAGAAGGATTAAATGGGGTATTTGTGTTAGTTGGAGGGATTAAAGGGAATATTGAGGAATTTAGGCGAGAGATCAAGGGTAGTTAAGGGGCATATCGAGAGGAGTAAAAACAACCAAAATTATATCAATTCCAAATAAAATTTTTTTTAATTTACAGATTCTCATTTACTGAATCAGAACAACTATCATGGTATGTAAAGATTAGATTTATGGGTTATGTGTATTTTTTATCAATAAGTCGGGAATCACCTGGAAATAGAAAAGCTTATGAGGTAAAACCTAATCTTAAAAATTGGGATTATTTCCCCCTTCCCTAATTATAACTCTTCAACAATTTTCATTATTTGATTAATTAAAAAACTAGCGAATTTTAAACTTTACAGAAGGAAATGAAAAATATCATTTAAATAATGGTCGTTATAAAGGTAGTAATTATCAAAAGACTTCCGAAGATGCAAAAAAGAAGAAAGCACGAAACATTGGAGGATTTAATTTGAATGAGAAACCGATTAATTTAAATGAACACCCGGATTCAGACAATTGAGGATTCTAGCCTTGGGGGAAAAGTTTAAATATTTCAATCTGTGTAATATATCCATCCACAAACAATTTTTTATGGCTCGTATTAGGGTTGTTCACTACCGGTTATTGACCGATACTCCCAGTTTTCGGTTAATTAAATTTTAAAACACCTGTTTTCTGATTAGTGTTTAGTTAAATACCGGGTTTATTTTGAAGGAATTTCTAGGGAATCACGAGTTTTTAATTGGTTTTTAAATTTTTATAAACACGGCTAATTTTTAGAAAGAAATATTAAAATTTTAAATTTAAAAATCGGTCGTTAACAGCACTAGTTTGCATTTAAAAGTGATAGTTATTTAAATTGAGAGTGTACTCTAGTGTTTCGCCTGAAGTTCCGGTTCAGGTCCTGGTAGGCCGGAAGTTCCGGGATTTTTTGGTTCCGGTTTGGTTGTAGTGTTCCGGTTCCCGGTCCGGCCAAATTCGCAGTTCCGGCAAAGCTCTAGTGTACTCTCTTACTGAGTGACCTTTCAATTTTATTTACCGTATTATCTCTATTAGAATGCCCCTCTCCATTTGAATGCCCCCCTCTAATAGAATGCCCCTCTAGCGGAAGATCGAAAAATACAATGCCCCCCTCCATTTGAATGCCCCCCCTCTAATAGAATGCCCCCCCTTTTTTTGCTGAAATTTTTCTAAATAAAAAAGATATTACAATTTATATTTAAAACGTTTACTACATATTCACTTTTAATCGTAGTAGGAATTTTCCGAGTCGAGTAGGAATTTTCCGAGTTCGAGTAATCCGAGTATTATTATCCCGAGTTCCGAGTCGAGTAATTACGCAAAAAAACCGAGCGGTCGAGTCGAGTAACTCGAACTCGCTCGAACTCGACTTACTCTATTTTATATTATGGATAAAAATTTTTGATAAAAATTTTTCAAACTTTAAAATTTAGTCATCGAAAAATACAATGCCCCCCTCCATTTGAATGCCCCCCTCTAATAGAATGCCCCTTTGGAAGGTGTTTGAAAAATAGAATGCCCGGGCATTCTATTAGAGATAATACGGTAATTTTTATTCAATTTAAAACGTAATTATCCCTTTACATTAGAGATCGGACTTATACCATATACCTATCTGACAAAAATATCGTTAGGAGATTTTTCTATCCGAAAATTTTTAGTTTTTATTTTGATCCCAGCCCTGATAATAAATGTAAATTGTGTCGAGTCCGGTCTTCCTTCTACTAAACAACAGGTTTTTGCACAATTTTTTTGTTTACAATTCTCTAAAAATTTTTTTTGGGGTTTTTAAAGAAATTCAAAATTTTAAAATATTTGTTTATTTAGGTTTAAGAGCTTGTAAAATTTTTTTGTTGTGCATTGCCTTTCTCTTTTTTTATTTATCCTACCCTATGTATTTTCATTATATTTAAAATTATTTGCATGTGCTTAACTTCCTTCCATCTACCGCTTTCCATATTTTTAAATTCTCCTGTTTTTGTGGATATTTTATTTTCTTTTTTTAATTTTTTTATAAACTTTTGGGTAAATTTGTTTTATTAAGGATCAAAAAATTGTTTTTTAATTAAAAATCCATTTTTTATTAATGGTAGTGCAGGGTCCTGGAGCCTTACCCAGTAGTGCCCCCAATCTAAGATACACTTCTTTATAAGTTAAATCTTTCTTCCTTAAGAGTGTTTTTTTAAAAATGAGATACGTCTGCATTTTCCATTCATTTATGGAGATGTTGAAAAGAATCTCCATACATGGAAAAATCCTTTAACTCTCATTATTCAATTATTAATTTCTTCAGTAAAATTGCTTTAAAATTATTAAATAGACTTTTAGTATTTAATAAATAAAAAGAGAAACGAGGTTGTGGTGGTCGTGGCCGAGTGGTTAAGGCGTTGGACTGCTACTTTATTGTTGGTATCCAATGGGGTTTCCCCGCCAGAGTTCGAATCTCTGCGACCACGGATATTTTTATTTGATTAATAAAATAGGGTTTTAAGGTTTTCTTGACTTTTTGGTCAAAAAAATTTTTTTGGAGTTTTTGTTTTTAAGAGAACTAAGAGAAAAAAAATTTTAAAGAATAAGGCATAAAACATGGAACTTTTAAATACATAGAGCCTGAATTCATGATTTTTTCCAATTTTTTCTTGAACACCCATGGTCTTAGAATTCAGTGTTGATATAAAAAATATTTTCTGGTAAGGTTTATTATTTTACATTCACAGTAGGTAAAGGAATTCAAACTTTTTTGATTGTGTACAAGCCTTGATTCCTTACTAGAGTTTGTCTGTATTTTTGCCCCAAAGAATTTTTGGGATTTTTGTTTAGGATTTTTGTTTCCGATTCTGATTTTCTTTTAAGGTTCCGGTTCAATTTGTTCAATCAAAGTTAAAACGGAACATTTTTAAACCTTTAAAGATTGAATTTTAAAACACCGAATTTCCTCTAAAATAAGCTCCGGGGCTAATTTTTTCGATCAACCTCTAAAGGGGGTTTATTTTAGAAGAAGAGGAAATACGGTAAATTTGTTTTTTTATTTAAAATTAATTTTTGGGTGTTACAACTTTTCCCAGTTTCTCGATCAAAAAAAAAAGCTAGGAACGGGAAAAGGGACACATTATATTTGTATTTTTGGGACCATAAACTTTAAAGGACGCATGGATTATTTTTTAAGACCTCTTACCCCGAACATCTACCACCGACGTTTTACTTGAGAAAAACAAATTTAGAAGAGTTACTGTAATTTTTAAAAATAATTTTTAATTTTTGCTATTGATTTTAATTATAAAATTTGTATATAATTTTTAAACAAAAAATTATTCTTTTAAAATTTTTAGATAAAGACATTGAAAAAAATTTAAAGACAAAGAAAATCGGGAATTGAACTAAACCAAAAAAGAACGTAAATTGGTTTTAAAATCAGTAAAGGGGTTGTTTTGGCGCCGACATATTTTTGGCTTTTTTTTCAAAATTTTAGGAAAATTTTTTGTGGCTATTGAAGGATATACCGGATTTACTCAAATAATGGGTAGGTAATTATTGTTTGAATTTCTTATAGGGAGTAATCATATTTGAGAGTGGGTAAATCTAAATGTAAAAAAGGACGGGAATGTTGCTTCTGTTTATCAAGCACTTTTTAAATAAAAAGTTATATCCAATTTATCTTGATCAAAATTAACGCGGATTCGGCTTCTCAGCCAGAAAAACCTTCTCTCAGCCTTCTCATTCAGAAACATGATAAAAATCAAAAATTTGGGTTCTAATTATCAATGAAAAAGTTAATAAAGTATAGCACTGTCCAAGACCGAAAATTTTTCAGGACTCAAGACAATGAGTATTGGACAGCTCTAGTGAAGTTAATCCTTTCATATTTAATAATCCAAAAGAAAAATCTGGTGAAAAAATATTTTTATATGTAATGGAGATTCATTCTTTTTAATTGGGATGATTATTTTTTATTTATTTCTCAAAAACTTTTTAGGGAATTTTCTTGGCTTGTTACCGTATTTATTGAAATATAGCCCGTCCCTCTTAAATAAATCCCCTAGAAGGATGGCTGTAATTAGAATATCCGTGACAGCATGTTAAATAACATTATGCTTATTTTGGGAAAAAGAATCAA